GTCAAACACGAAAATTCGACACCAAAATATCGTTTGTAAATTTGTTTATAATAATCATTATACAAAAAAATAAATAAACAAGAAGTAAAATTAAGAAATTCGACAAAATTCTAAATCCATAATTCATCCTACGAAAAATTACCGATTACCTACTCCTTTTAACGATTCCTAACCTCAAAACGACAATCAAACACGAAAATTCGACATCAAAATATCGTTTGTAAATTTGTTTATAATAATCATTATACAAAAAAATAAATAAACAAGAAGTAAAATTAAGAAATTCGACAAAATTCTAAATATATAATTCATCCTACGAAAAATTGCCGATTATCTACTCCTTTTAACGATTCCTAACCTCAATACGATGGTCAAACACGAAAATTCGATATAATCATTTCGTGTGCAATCCAATCCAATATCGTAAGTCTTTTCAAACGACCAAATAAAAAGATCGAACGAAGGTGAAAGAAGAAAAATGCAATAAAGTGAGACACCGTGGCGCGCAAAAGCAGGCCGCCACGTAGAGAACGACCGCAGGGGCTTGGCACGATCCGTCGATCGTGTCCGATCTATACTCACTGGTGTCTTGGCAGGCGGCGAGGTCGAGGACCTCGATGATATGATCCACGCACTGCATCTTCTGGGAGTGCGAGAACGTGTCCGGAAGCCTGAGCCTCGCCTGGTACTGAAACACACGAACAACAAGAACTGTCAGATCGAAAGAAACAAAAAATATCAAAAATGAAAAAAAAAAGAAAAAAAGAAGTAAGAAGAGAAAGAAGAGAAAAATGTCGGATCGACGATTAAATCGGCGAAAGCGTGCAACAGAAAACGGTAGATAGGAACGATGAGAAGGAAGATCGGTATCGTGGCGGACTTTACGGAAAGTTGAGACTGCCTTTTAACCCAAGCCACGGCCCCGTTTACGCATTAAACAGCAATGTAAGCAAAAGCCGGCGGCGTGGACGTGCATTTCCGTTTCGTAACATCCAGCCCACTTTGTGTCTATTATTACCATCTGACACGTACCCCCGGGGATGCACCGGTCCGCTCGTAATCGCGATCGTTAAATCAATTACGATAACGTGCTGCAGCAGCCGTTACGTTCCTTGCGAAACCCACCCAACAAGCCATTTTTCGATCCGGATGGGTCGTCACTTTGTTTCCTAGCCTCGTCTTTCTGTAGATTCTTTCAAGCTTTTGAAAGTCTTTCAGGTTGGTAGATTCGGTAGATGAAGAGAGAATTTTGGTCGTTTGAACGATTTTCTTCCGTTTGCTGGATCTCTGATCGTTTTTAACTTCTTAAAGACACGTTCGTGGGAAGAGGGAATTTCAATGGTTCGAGAAGCATCCTTTGGTTATCTTGAATTTTTTGAAGATCGATGGGTTTGGATGAATAGGCTATTTTCATAATTCGTAGATGATTCTTTGGATCTACTGACTTCTTGGTTATTTTCAATCGATTTGGTTCCTGAGTATTTTTGATATTTTTGGGGGGTTGATGAAGTTTAGGATTTTTGCAGGAAGAATTTCAGTGGTTTGTTATTCTGGATTCTTTAAAGATCGATGGCTTTGGATATCAATGGATTATTTTGATAATTCTAAAGTAGTTCTTTCTATCTATCGGGTTTTTTCCTTTTTGATGAAATTGACTGGAGAAAGAATTTCAATGATTCGAAGACAGTTCCTTAAACCTGTTAATCCTTTGAAGGTCCTTTGAAGTTAACTTTTTAAAAGTCCGTAAAATAATAATACGTAAACGAGAAAGAAATACTTAGAAAAGTACCACACTACTAACCGCAATATTAAAAATCGAATTCAATAAAACAAGTTTATATTAAAACAAGTAAAGCGTCGCCTTGGCGCAACATTTGTGCTTAACGAGTTAAACAGAAAGTTCGACCTAAAACTGTTATCTCTTTGGAGGGTGTATCCAACTTTTCCAAGTTAATACTCCAACCTTTTACAACTTCGAGAAATTGTAAAATATAAACGAGTAAAGAAATACGTAGCTACGAAAGTATAACTTGGCGTAACTGCTAACCACAGTATCAAAAGTCGAATTCGAGAATACGAGTTCGTTAAAGCAAGTAAGACGTTGCTTCGACGCAACATTTGCGCTTAACGAGTTAAACAGGAAAATCAGAATCGAAAACCAGAAACACCGTCCCACCGACGATCTCGGCATAACAACTTAGCGTAACTGTAGATCACAATATTAAAAAATCGAATTTAATAATAATGCAAGTTTATTAAAACAAAGAAAACGTTTCTTGGAAGCAACATTTGTGCTCAACGAGCGAAATGGGAAGATCTGAAGCGAAAACCAGAAACGCTGTCCCAACGACCATCTTACCATCAACTTGCCAATTAGACAACACACGAATTATGCAACGAAGGAACTGCGAACTTCGCAGAGAAGGAGGAAGCTACGTGTCATGTGTCAGGTTGTAACGAGCTACACCTTCGACAGCTCGATCAGGAAATCCATCCACCATCGGTCTTGCGCGATTCTGCACGTAGCGCATGAACTTTCCTCGTCTTGAAACGCGTTCACGTGCATTCGATAATTCGGGGACACGCGAGGACAAGCGTGTTAGTATCGAAGGGAAACGCGCGGCCTCTGCTGCCTTTGGAATTCTTTCATGAACGTCGTTTGAAATTTTTCCTGGATTCTGTCCTGGAATTCGAGAAATTCACCAACCGAAAACAAAATGAATTCCAAGCTGTTTGTTTTATTTTCCATGTACTGGAGTTTCAAGCGACGTCCAGTTATATTGGATTTTTTTTATTATATCTTATCTTTCATTTTTAAATCTAATTCGTGCAGTAGAATTTTTGTAGGGTTTGACTTGTTGGTCATGTCGTGTTTCGAAAACACATTCCTTGAAGGGAATTAGAAATTCAATAAAGGCAGAACCAGGTTAGCTGTGTGATCAAAATTGGAAATTAAGGGACATTGTGTTTCTTTTTTGAAGAGACGCTTTCTATAGATAGTTTAGGAGGTTTAATTATGCAGGATAAAGGTTGACGAATAGGAAACTCGGAGGAAAAGGTGCACCAAAATTAAACTCTGTGTTCAGTATGTTTCATATTTGGCAGAAGGTACGTTTACATCACTTTTTCATCGTACGAACCCTTCAAATAAATAAAAATATCCCGATAACAGGAAAACTTGTATACAGTCAGTTTAGGAAGCCTTCGCGCACCACTATTTTGACTAAAATAAAATTCTACCAAATTTCGTAGGAAAGTTAGTATATTCCGTACTCGATACCGAGAGGACAAACGCTTCCATGAAATATTAACAAAATATATAGCCCTAACATTAACGTAACTTATAGCCCCTTACGTGTTTCAATGTTTATACAGAATACATTTTACTACCAGATATTTATTGTTGAGTAAGTATAATTTTATACGAAGATTAATATAGCAGATTAATTTGAGTAAGAATAACTCTTTCGTAGAATGCACGAACAATTTCGTGTTCTATTTACATCGTTGATGATCGTATCTATAAATGTTTTACACAAATACCTTAGTAACTTGATAGACTTTTATGTACATACACGTGTCTATATGTTTCTTTATTACTACGTAGACAAATACGTGAGCAAGTTACCGAGTACAAAATATAATTCCACTAAGATAGAAACGTTTTCGAAAGGAAACGCTTACATGGAATACGATAGTTGGAATAATTTTCGATCGCTAAGGCCCAACGATAAATAAAATCGATCGTTCCTTAGCCTCGTTGACTCATATTTCTGCTCGAATGGAAGGCTGGAATCAGGCGTTCGATGGCTCGTTGGTGGGCTTTTAAAATTCTATTATGTGCCTGATTAATAGTTCCACTTAATCATTCGACGAAAGTATGCGCAACTATATGAAACTGCCGATAATGGCGGTCGACGCGGTTGGTTAACTTAAATCAATGTAAAGCAGCCAATTAAACAGCCCATTGTTTCCTAGCCGCCTATTTGAAATTCCGCTCGAACGAAACCATTAAGCATTAGGCTTAATGAAAGGAAACTCGATTCTCATCTCTTGGTGATCGACGTGTTGCTCGCGAAAATTTACACGGCGACTGGAACAGCACTCGCGGATATTATTATCGCGGATATTACGTCGGAAACGGTTTGATTAATGCGTCCACGACTATGTACGGGGATTCGATTAAGGAAACTTTGATCGTTCGCTTTTTCCTTTAGGAAACGTAAAAACGACCAGAGAGAAATGGTAACGGTTTACCCTTTCTTTCGAAAAATTGAATAATATGTAGGAAGAAGTGGTGTTTTAGAAAAATCTGTTACGAGAGAAAGCTGTGAGAATGTAATAAAATATTTGTTCTAGTTTAGATCGACTGTGTGTACGTACTGGATCTGCTAGTATCGCAATTGTTGTGTCAGAACATACATTAATTATTTTTTCTATTGATATTAGTGTGCTATTTTTTAAAAGTCGTAAGGAAATTATGGTACTATCATTCAAAAGAAAAAAATACAATAATCTATTTTTATCGATATCTGTCTCAATTTTCTTTCAGTATTCAAGAAAAGAGAACAAAAATTCTTCTAATTTTTACTCTGAAGCAAACAACCCTTAATAAATACCTGAGTACGAGTATACTATATCAACAACAATATTACAACTGTAATTAACAAACAACTGAATAACTATAATTAAAAATGCTATGACTTAAATAAAATAAGCATACATAATATTAACACGCGGCTGTCATTTTTCTCTATACGCGTTCTATGCTCTCTATATATATGACGCGCACATGTTCGCGTTCACAAGTCTTTTTCGTAAAATTCTGCCAATTTGCTGGCGTCACCAGCAGCGGCATATTGTGCGAAGCCGCTCCGTTGCGCATGTGTTAATTTTATCAAAGGCATCCAGTCTATTCATTTATTAATTTATCAATTGCAAATAAAAAGAAAACACAAACTCGCTATTTTCATACGTGTTGTACGAAAATTGTAATAATTATTACACCGATATTTATGCAAATTCACATTCCCACCAACGCAACTAAAACGATTTTTCCATACATATCAGTTATATCGTAACAAGTGTGTATCTTACTTTGCATGGCTTATTGAACAGAAGGTCTACATTATGTTTCTATCTTTATTATGTAGAACGCTATATTTATAATTGCATCACTTTTGCGTCAGAGGGTAAAATTATTACTTATACCGCCATGGCCCTAGTTTCACACTATCGGTTGATCTTCGGTTCTTTCGTGACGCTGTAGGCGGAAAGTTGTACTGCTTTCGCGAATAGTGGCGTATCTTGCGTTAAGTCAGCCTTATGACGCCGTTGAAAACGATTTCCCTGTAAACTTTGAAAATCTCTACATTCTTTTTAGTTGCGTTACCATCGACGTCGGACATTGATACATTTTCGCGTATCACGTGCATTTTCATTATTTCGCACTTTCCAATTTCTCACGGATACAAGATAAACGGCTTGTAAAATCGAATTTTTCCTTAGTCACGTTGTAGTTAGTTCATCGCGCGTGGTCAGATTATTTTTAAATTATTTTCGTGTGCACGCGGCTTAAGGTGGATGTCGGCTCGGTCGACACACCCTGCCTTGGCCGCGGCGGGCAACGCGGACGAACGTGCCATTTTCTCGACGGCTGGGAGTCCGTTACACAAGAGGATCCGTTAT